ACTCTATTATCACCCAGGTTTTACAGATTAGGAAACTGAGGCTCAGGGTCACAGAGTTGGTAAGTGTCTGAGGCCAGAGTTTGAACTTAGGTCTTCAATGCACCACCTGCTGCCTCCTTGGAAAAGGCTCAGGGCTACTGGGAAGGACAGCTGTCCTCAGAGCTGTTAGGGAGGGTTCTGGCAGAAAGAACCCGGAGTTTCTCTCACTTCCCTGGGCCCAAGCTGGTGGTAGCATTCATCCTTTCTGACCGGTCCTCTCAGGGACATTATTTTGGCTCCACAGGCAGCTGGGTAGGGGATGGAAGGGGGCTGGAGTTAGAGGGCCTTTTTGGTTCAAGGCCTCATCAGCAAAATTAGGGGGGAGTCCCCTCCGACCCTGTCATCTTCTCAGTCTCACTCTTGTTGACTGTACCTTCCAAACCTCTCTCCATCCCAGTCCCTTCTCCCCACTCCTGCTGCCCTATGAAGTAGAAGGCCTCACTCAGCAGTGCTTAGCTGGATCACTTCAGGAACATCCCCACTCAGGGGTCTTCTTGCCTCTGGTTTCTCCACCATCTAGCAGATCTCTAACCTTCCCTCCCTCCCTCCCTTCCTTCTTTCCTTTTCTCCCTCCCTTCCTTCTTCCCTCTCTTCCTTCCTTTCCTCCCTCCTCCCTCTCTTCTTTCCTTCCTTTCCTCCCTCTCTTCTTTCCTTTCCTCCCTCCCCCTCCCTCTCTTCTTTCCTTCCTTTTCTCTCTCCTTCTCTTCCTCCCTCCCTCTCTTCCTTCCTCCTTCCCTCTCTTCTTTCCTTCCTTTCCTCCCTCTCTTCCTTCCTTTCCTCCCTTTCTCCCTTCCTCCCTCTCTCCTTTCCTTTCCTCCCTCCCTCTCTTCCTCCCTCCTTCCCTCTCTTCTTTCCTTCCTTTTGTCTCTCCTTCTCTTCCTTCCTCCCTCTCTTCCTTCCTTTCCTCCCTCTCTTCCTTCCTCCTTCCCTCTTTTCTTTCCTTCCTTTTCTCTCTCCTTCTCTTCCTCCCTCCCTCCTTTCCTTTCCTTCCTTCATGTCATTTGCATTCTTGCCCAGCAGGGGGCATCAGGAGGCCACTCTGCCAAGGGCAGCTGGACCCGGCCAGGCTGGACATTAGGCCCTGGCCAGTAGCCCAAGGAGTCATGTGCCCCACAGGCTTGGCTGGCTGGATTTGTCTCCAGGCCATTTCCCTTCCATGTCCCATCTGACAAGTTAAGCTGCAGGCTGGTGCCCCATAGGTCTGGTTTAGTCTCTGTCTTTCTCTAGAACCCTGAAGTGGCAATCAATAGAGCCAAGTTCAGGGCTCAGCTCTGCCACTGTTAGCGATGTGACCTTGGGCCCTGGGCTTCCTTAGGGTCTTTTTTGAAACCAGGACTTGGACTTCTGGGTTGGCACCTGCTACTCTGACCCTCCAAGTTCCTATAGGCCAGGGATGGGGAACCTGTGGCCTCCAGGCCACATGTGGTCCTCTAGGTCCTCAAGTGCTGCACTTTGACTGAATCTGGACTTCACGGAACAAATTTGGATTCAATCAAAGGGCTGCACTTGAGGACCTAGAGGGCCACATGTGGCCTGGAGGTAGCAGGCTCCCCACCCCTGCTTTAGGCACTAGCACACATTAATTCTAGATAGAGCAAGAGAAGTCTTTTTTTCCTAATCAAATTGAATGGGCGTGTTCTGAGACACATAACAGTGGTCTCCAATCCCTTTGAGGGTAGAAATTTGGCCCTGGACATAGGGAACCTGGTCTGGGCTCCTCACCACCCCTACTTGGAGAGCCAAGCCTGGGGAATTCTGCATGGGACCAGCTTTCTCTCCTCTTTGCCCTCCCCAACACTGCAGTACGAAGGGGGCCCAGAGACAACAAAGGAGGGGCTCCTGAAGCTGGGCTGGAGACTCCCCTCTACCACTTCCCCAGCCCCTCAAGCAAAGCATAACCAGGCCTCATGCCTTCATCTGGAAAATGGGTGTTTATCCACTCTAGCCCTGAGATCCTATACCCTTTCTACCATAAGTCTGTGGGACTGGGAGTGGGATGTAGGGGAGAAAATCCTGCCACTCACTAGCTGCATGGCCCTGGGCAAGTCACTTTTCTTCTTGACTTGTGTGTCCTCTAAGAAAAAGGGGTTGGGAGGGTGTCACAAGGGGCATGTAAAGGCCTTGCAAACCTTAAAGATCTCTAGGGATGCCAGTTCTTGTGACCCTCCCTCCCCTGGCACAGGCTGCCCATCTGTCTGTGACACTTTGGATTCTTCTCTTGATGTTCAAATTTGCCTGATCATGGGCGGGGTAGGGGAGGAGGGGGAAGAGGAAAAGGGGGAAAGAGGACACTGTGATTTACTCCTGCCCTCCCACTCCATCCTGCTGCACGGGTTGGGAACCCACCACAAATAGCTGGCCATGGGCCACTGCTGGGGAGTGAGAGGGAACTTCAACTATGCTTCCCCTCAGAGGGAGCAGACTGTGCCTTGCTGCTTAGCCCTCAGGGCCACCTGAGCTGGGCCTGATCTGGTGGGGAGAGCTTGGCCTCTGTTCAATCCCCAGATTAGATAAGGGAGCAAGTCCGAGGCTCTTAGAAGGCAACTGGGTTCCAGGAGGCCTCGGCCGTCCTCTGGTTTCAGTTCTAGCCTCAGTGAGGACATGCTCTCCCAAACATGCTCTCAAGGCCTGGGTCTCCTAAAGCCTGCTGAGCAACTCCCATGGGTTCTCCTGCTGTCACCCAAAGGGCTCTCATGGTGACTTCTCAGGGTACTCCACTGTGTACACACTGATACTATAGATACACTGATACTGTATGCACATCGATACTGCGTACACACACTGGTACTATATACACACACTGATATCGTGTATTTACACACTGATACTATATAAACACACAGACACTGTATTCACACTGTATACACACCAAGGATGTGTGTGTAGGTGGGTGGTAACACAGGGAAGGGGAGGGGCTCACACAGTTCCAGCTCTGCTGATCTCCCTTCTCTCTCTCTCTTGCCCCTTCCCGGCTGCCCTAGACCCCCACCATGTTTCAAGCGGCACTGACTGGGCTTTCTGACCCATCTTTGCATCCCATCAGTTCCAAAGTCCTATCAATTCTTCCCTGGAAACATCTCTCCCTTCTGTCCCTTCCTCTCCATTTTTGCCACCACTGAGCCAGTCAACGCCTTCATCTCTTTTCTTGGCCTTGCAGCTTCCATGACTAATCACTTCCTACCTAAGATACCTCCTCTAGCCTTCCCTAACTCCAGATCTCATTGCCTCCCCATAGGGTCCTTGGACATCTTGGTCTCTTTGCCCGGCTTGTACCACCTCCTCCTTGAGGATGAGACCTGCATCTTATTCTATGATTCTGTGATCTCTTTCTCCCCATCTCAGAAGCATGGGGCCTGGTTAAAGGTTTGGGGAAATGTATAGTCTTTGTATCACCTAGGGCTGTGGCAGAGTGGATGGAGTGTTGGACCTAAGGTCTGGAAGACCTAAGTTCAAATCTGGCCTCAGACACTACTAGTATAACCCTGGGTAAGTCACTAAGCTGCTTCCTGCCTCAGTTTCCTTATCTGTAAAATGCAGATAATAAAAGCACTTACCTCTTAGGGTTGCCATGACAGTCAAATGAGATAATAATTAAAAAGCACTTAGCATAGTGTTGGCAGATAGTAAAAGTTACATAGATATGATGATGATGATGATGATGATTATGCAGAAAAGCCAAAAGGCCTTGTCTAACACCTAAAGATCTGTCTGTCCTCCTATCTATCTATCCATTCATCCATCCAACCACTCATCTATCCATCCATCTATTCATCTATCTACCCACTTGTCTGTGTCTCCATTCATTCATTCATCCATCATCCATTTGTCCATGCCTCCATCTGTCCATATATCCATACATCCATCTATCCACCAACCTGTCTGTCCACCTATCATTCCTCCATCCATCCATCCATCTGTCCATCCACACATCTTTCCATCCATCCATCCATCCCACAAACCTTCATTAAGCACTGGTGTGCTGGGCCCTGTGCTAGGCATTGAGGGAAATAAAGAGTTCACATAAAGCTGAATCCCTGCCCACTTGGAGCTTAGATGGCAAGACAAGGGGATGAGATACAAACATAAGGAATTGTAATGCGATTCATTCATGAAAACAGTATAAAACCAAATGCTCTCTCTCCATGGCATTGGAGAGTATCAGGGAAGGGGAATGAGTGTGAGCTCCACCATATGGGAAATTTTTCAGCGGAGGATTAATAGAGAAGATTTGCGAGCCTTTTAGTGGGTGTGGGAGGGCCTGGAGCAAGGACGGTGACCCTCTACAGCACCACCTACCCACCCCCAGCCTCCAATTTAGCTTCTTTCCAAATAAAACCTCTCCTATCCATTGGGAATATGAAACAAGGATGCACTGACAAAGAATGCTACTTTGAAACATCCCTCCCTTCCCCTCCTTGCACAGCTGGATCTGGCCTAGGCTCTGTCCTCCTGTTCCTTCCAGACCTTCCTGCTCCTTCCATGGCACCCCATTTCCATGCTGTAGTCAGGCCACAATGTGGGCTCTGCTCCTTCCTGCCTCCTGGGTGAAGGCTGGACTTTTCTGCCCCCATCCTAGCAATAATCAGAGCTGTTTGCCCTTCACCCTCTGGTGAGAGTCTGAGCTTGGCAAGTTCTTCCCAGAAGCAGGATTATTACCCCCATTTTAAAGGTGAAGAAATTGAGGCCCTGGGAGGCTAGGTCACTAGCCCAGAGCCCCCAGTCGGTGCTCCTCCCTCGAGGCCAGGCTTTCCCACAGAGCCTCTCCGTGGCTCTCCAAAGGCTCCGTCTGCTCTAACCCATCACGCCAGTCTCTGCTGTCACAAGAGCACGGCTCACTTATTCTGTTTGCTTCCCTGTCCCTTCTGCCTGTCCGGCTCCAGCTCCAGGACTGCCCTGAGCCTCAGGCTGTTTGCTCCCTGCCTTCCTAACTCCCAGCAGACCCCTGCAGGAGGGACACTCACCGCCAGTACTCCTCACTGGGGCTGGTCCTCTTAAGGGTGTAGTTGAGCATCTGGGAGAGGTTGAGGGGCCCGTGGGCTGGGTCCGAGCCGTTGGTGAGGTTGGCGGCGTCGAGGACCCCAGCACAGTCGAGCGTGTTCCAGGGGTTGTTGCAGTATGCCCAGGGTAGCACGGGGGTCATAGAGGAGAAAAAGTAGTAGAAGGCGATGCAGATAACTACGTTGTAGTAGATGCCAATGTAGGTGGACACCACCATCATGCCGTAGCCCACACCTGCAGGCAAGCAAATGAGAGGTTTCATGGTGGGCTGGAGGAAGAGGAGGAGGTGGCTTGGAAGGGAGTGTGCGGAGCCAGGCCCAGGCAGTGGCCAAGGGCAAGAAGGGGAAAGAGAGGTCCTGTGTGGGGAGAGGTATGGGAGCCAAACCAAGGAATACATGGCCCCAGCTAGGGAGGTGCTACTGGGGGCAGAAATGTGGGCACATGAACACTGCGCTTGAGCCTCACCTTTAAACATGGGGCTTATCCTCCAGACCCCCAGGCAGCCCTGGCTGGCAAACTGGCCAAAGGAGAGCTCCATGAAGAAGAGCGGGATGCCACAGAACACCAGCATGATGAAGTAGGGGAACATGAAAGCGCCTGGCAGGGTGTGGGGAGAGAGGCCAGGCTCAGGGAGGGAGGCCTCTGCCCCTGACTGCCTTAAGCCCAGAACCCCAAGGAAGAAGGAGTGCTTCGGGGCCCGTGTCCATTGCCTCCCTGCCTCTGCCCGGCTTTCAGGAGCAGGCCACAACCCCCTCCTTCCCCATGGAACAAGGACCCAAGCAAGCGGGGGAATGTTGGAGCAACCCTGAGAGCCCGACACAGTCTCTGTGCCCAGAAGGAGATGGATGCTCTCGTCTCCATTTCCCTCCCCCCCAGAGAGTGTGTGTGCCAGGAGCTGGAGGTGGTCTATGCCCCAGGCAGAGGGGCATCTGTGCCAGGCTGTAGGGGAGGAGCCTGTCCTCGGGGTGGGTGGTCTCTAGCCCAGGTAGGGCCCAAGGATGCAGGGCCCTCTGGGTACCTCCCCCGTTGCGATAGCATAGATAAGGGAATCTCCAGACGTTGCCCAACCCCACGGCATAGCCCACACTGGTCAGCACAAACTCAATCTGGTTGCCCCAGTTGCCGCGTTTGAGGTTCTTGTCCCGTTTGGCCGCCTCACTGGGGACAGCACCATTCTGTGGAAAGAGGAGAAGAGGTGCAATCAGTACGAAGCCAGAGGCAACCCTGACCAGGGTCTAGCCTAATCCTCATGCCTCCTGCCTGCCAGCTCCCAGGAGGGACAGGAGGAGGCGATGCCATTTGGAGATGGGGGCCGGTCTCTCCTCCTAGTCTGCCTTGCCCCAGTCAGCCCGGGACAGCCCAGGCAGGCCTGCCTGATTCCTCTGCCCCTCCCAGGCCTCCAGCCTCCATAGCTCTCAGGGGCATGAGTAGTAAGCGGCTCAGTGTCATACCAAGCAGCCCCGCCGGGACCGGCAACAAAGGGTCCTGTGTCCAGCGTGCGCGTCCCCCCACCCCCAGTCTATCGGTCTGCCTGCAAGCCTGTCTGCCTAGCACATCGCCAGGCTGAGCACGTGGGCCAGCTGGGCATGCAGGAGAACAGGGGGAGCGGGCCCCTTCCCCCTGCTTTGGGCTTCGGGGGCAGGACAAATTGGTCAAAGGCAAGACGAGCAGGCTGGCACAGCTGGGCCTAAGGGCCCTGGGCTGACAGAGTAGCTCAGTGGCTATGGTCGAAGGCAGGAGGAGCCAGCTGGCACAACAGGGCCTGGCCCATAGGCAAAGGTCCCTGAGGAGTAGGTTCCAGCCCAGGGCTGGCCAGAGCCTGTCAATGATGTCAAAGGCAGGGTGGGCAGGTTGGCACAGCTGTGCCCGTGGAAGGGGCCCTGGGCAGCAGGCTCCAGTCCAGAGCTGGCGGGGAAGCTGGGGGCTACCTATCTAAGATAGACTCAGAAGGTCAAGGGGAGGTCAGCTCTGAGGAAGACCTTTAGGAAAGAGACAGAACTGTCTAGGGCCTCTGGGGCACTTGTCTTCTGGGACTTGACAGTGTGGGGGAGTGATTATAGGGTCTGAGTGGTGGGCAGCCCTGTCTGAGGCAGGAAGGAGCCCCTGTAGAGAGGGGAGGATCTGCCCCTGAGGGGCCCCAGGCCCAGAGGCGGGGGATTTGAGAATGATCTCCAAGGGACGAGACAATATCTGACCAGGGAAGAGACTGCCTTCCACTGGAGAGGGGAGATAATCGCTGAGGACAAAGACAATTTTGGAGAGGGGAGAGCAATTCTAAAGAGGGAAAGGTGATGTCTGAGGGGAAAGATGGTCTTTAGTGGGGGAAATACAGTTTCTGAAGGGGAGAGACAATCTCTGGGAGGAAGACCATTTCTCATGTGCAGAATCTCTGAGGGTTGGAGGCTAGGTCTGCCCATGGTTCTCTCTGGGAGGAACAGATTACCCCCCTATCACACCCTCTCTGCAGTCTTCAGTTTCGCCTGATATGTCCCCTATAAAGGATCCCGTGTCTTCCCATCCTTTAAAAAGCCACTAACTGGATCAGATCTCCCCACAAGGCTATCTCTGGAATCAAAGGTCCTGGGTTCAAATTCTGCCTCTGCTGCTCATTGCCTGTATGGCCTTGGGCAAGTCACTAAACCTCCGTCTGGATAATGATGGGGCTGGCCTAGGTGGCTTCTGAGGTGCTTTTGGCTCCAGAGTTGGGATATATGAACCCCATGCTGGGCAGAGTGCCTGGCACTTAGCAAGCACTTAATAAATGCGTGCCGATCGATTGCTGAATCGCCCTCCCTTTTCTCATCCAAATTCCGAGGAAACAGAATCTGTTGAGGCCGCTTATCTCCATTTCCTTACACCTCACTCACTCTGTAGCCCTCTGCAATCTGTCTTCTGAGCCCATAACTCAACTGAATTTGCTCTCCCAAAGCTACCAACGATCTTTAATTGCCAAATATAATCACCTTTTCCAGTTCTCAAGGGGAAAAAAATCCAGGCTTATCAATAGCCATATGGGGAAAAAAATCACTAATAGAGACACACAAATTGAAGTAATCCTGAGCTTCTACCTCAAAGCAGTCAGGTTAGCAAAGCCGTCAAAGATGGGGAATGTTGTAGGGGCTGTGGGAAAAATGGGCTTATTGATACACTTGTCTATGGAACTTTGAATTGGTCCAGTCATTCCAGAACTATGGCCAAGTTACTACTAAACTGCGCACATCTCCTAACCCAGAGAGATACCACTCCCAAAGAAATAAAAGGAAAAGGAAGAAAATCTTTCTGTATGAAAATATTTATAGCTGTGCTTTTTTGTGGTGGCAAAGAATTGGAAATGGAGGGGATGCCCATCAGCTGGAGGAGGGCTGAACAAATTATGGTATCTGAATGTGAGGGAATTTTTGTTGTTGAGTCATGTCCCGTCATGTCTGACTCTGTGACCCCATTTTGGGGTTTTCTCGGCAAAGACACTGGAATGGTTTGCCATCTCCTTCTCCAGCTCATTTTACAGATGAGGAAACTGAGGCAAACAGGGTGAAGTAATTTGCCCAGGGTCACACAGCTAGTAAGTATCTGAGGCTGGATTTGAACTTATTAAAAAATCTAATTCCAAGCCCAGTGTCCTATCCACTGTGCCACCTTAGTTGCCTCATGTGAGGGGATACTACTGTGTTGTAAGAAATGATGAAGGATATTGTTTCAGAGAAATCTACGAAGACTTGCATGAATGGATGTAGAGTCAATCAGAATCAGGAAAACAATTTATAGAAAAAACTGTAAAAATGAAAAAATGTTGAAAGACAGGCACTTTGATCAATGCAACAATCAACTATAATGTCATGGGACTGATGATGAAGCATAATGAAGCTACCTGCCTTCTGACCGAGGGGTGATGGGCTAATAAAATAAAGGCTCATCAAATGAAAAAAACAAAAACCAAACCAAACCAAAACATTGAACTTAACAGCCTTGTCTCAGTCCTCATCTTTCTCAAATTCTTGTGATATTTTCCAGTGTTGACCGCCTCTCCTCAGTGACTCTACCCTCTCTTACTTCTCCTTTCTAACTCACCGGTCCTCAAGCTCTCTGGTATCATCATCGCCTACTATTTGAACTCGATCCTGAGGACCCAGGGACCACTTCTCTCTCTCCTACACTTTCTCACTTGGTGATCTCACCAGTTAGTCATCAAGCATATATTATATACCTACTTTGTACTTGGCACCGTGCTCAGCCCTGGGGATACAAAGAAAAACAAAAGACAATCCCTTCCCTCATGGAATTCACACTCTAATTTGGGAGACAACTTGCAAATAACTATGCACAAATGGGGTAGATACAACTTAAATTAGAGATACTGTTGTTTGTCCTTCATTCTCAAAGAGGACCACGATATCAGGAAGGTGATACCATGACTTGCAAGTGAATTGGATTCAAGTGAGGGAGGGCTGTGCAAAGTCACCAGCCTCACTCTCTCCTCCGGAGCCATGTGGGTCCAGTGGCCAGGTATAGATCAGAACGACTGGAAATGGCCCCCAAATTGGAGATAACCAACAGAAGGAAGGTGCTAAGATGAAAAAAGGGCTGAGAAGGACTTCTTGTAGAAGGTACAATTTTGGCTGAATCTCTAAGGAAGCCCGGGAAGCCTAGGAAGCCAGGAGGCAGAGATGAGGAAGGAGAGATTACCAGGTATGAGGGACCGGCAGGGAAAATGCCTGGAGTTAGGAGATGGAGGGTCCTATCTGAGGAACAGCCAGGACACCAATGTCAACTGAATTACAAAGTGATGGGTGGGGGAGAATAAGGTATAAGAAGACTAGAAAGGTAGGAAGAGGCCAAGATTTTAAATCTGATCTTGGAAGAAAGGGGCAATCCATGGAGTTGACTGAACAGGGAGGTGATATGGTCAGGCTTATGCTTTAGGAAAATCAATCTGACTGTTGTGTAGAAAATGGACTTGAATGGGGAAAGACTCAAGGCAGGGGACCCACCAGCAGGCTACTGCAATGGTCTAGGCATGAATTTGAGCCAGGTTGGTAGCAGTAACAGAGGAGAGAATGGGACTATAGGAGAGATGTTCCGAAAGTAAAATCAATAGGTCACTGCAACAGATGGGGGAGGTGAAAGAGAAGGAGAAGCTGAGGATGACACCTGGGCTTGTGAACCTCAGTGACTGGGAGGACAGTGGTGCCTCAATAGGAGTAGGGCAGTTTGGAAGAGGGAAGGGTTTGGGGGAGAGATGATGAGTTTGGTTTTGGACATGTTGAATTTAAGATGACGACTGGATATCCAGTTCGAGCTGTCTACTAGGCATTTAGAGATGTGAGGCTGTTTAGGGCTGGATAAACACGTCTGAGGATCATCTGTGGAGTCGAATTCATGGGAGCTGCTGAGATCACTAAGTGAAATACGATAGAAGGAGAAGAGAAAAGAGCTTGGGACAGAACCTGGGAGGATCCTTGTGGTTTATGGGAGTGGCTTGGATGAAGCAGATTGTCTGACCACAAGGAGCAATCAGGATAGGAGGAGAACTAGGAAAGAGCAGTGTCACCAAAACCTAGAGAGAAGAGAACAGTCAGAAGAAGAGAACGATCAATAATGTCAAAGGCTTTGGAGAACTCAAGAAGGGGAAAGAATGAGAAGAAGCCAGTAGACCTGGCGATTAAGAGATCATTAGAAACTTTAGTGGCACAGTGGATCGAGCATGGGGCCTGGAGTCAGGAAGACCTGAGTTCAAATGTGGCGTCACACACTTCCTAGCTGTGTGATCCTGGGCAAGTCACTTAACTCTGTTTGCCTCAGTTTCCTCATCTGTAAAAGGAGCTGGAGAAGGAAATGGCAAACCCACTCCAGTATCTCTGCCAAGAAAACCCCAAACGGGGCCACAGAGAGTCAGACATAACTGAAAAACAACCGAACAACAACAGAAACCTCAGTGACAGCAGTTTCAATTGAATGACGAGGCTGAGAACCAGACAGTAGAGTTAAGAGGAGAGTGAGAGAAAAAGAAGTGGAGACAAGTATTGTAGGAAAAGTACCTTCTCTTCATGGGAGACAGAACTGGAGGAGGAAATAGGGGGGGAAGCCATCTGAGTGCTAAGAAAAGAGAAGGGGGGTCTTGGCTAATGGCTCCAGTTTTTCAGTGAAATATGAAACAAGGTTTTCAGCTGAAAGAGTG